GCTTGGATGCGATCCGTAAATGATTTGCCTGTCCCCCGGAACCCTTAACAGAAAACAGGGTCCCCTCCTTCACCACCCCCCTGCCCCCCACCCCCCTCCGCCCCGGCCTTGCCCATGGTGTTTACATTCAGGATCACATAGGATCTGGACAAGACGAATGCAGGGCATTCGCCATATGGCCGGAAGGAATTTGAGCATTCAGTAAATACCAGGCAGGAACAGAAGGAAATGCCTACGTAAAACACCCACATTCCTAGCATAGTTGTGTTTAATTATAGGGAATTGAAATGAAACTTAATTACATAATTTTGTCAGTACCTGGGTCACTGCTGCAACTCCGTGTAAAACTTAAAAGAGTCATCAGTAATCTGCCAGCGTCGCAGGCAGACAGCCCTGCACGGGGCCCTGGGGCTCCCGCTTCTGGAAGGGGCTGCGGGTAGGAGTGCCTGGTGCCCCCTCTTTAGGGGCTGGCGTGACCACGAGGCAGAGGGCCAGCTGTCTGGGCTGCACGCCCACTGCGTCTAGGGTGGAAAACCACCCTGCCACACCAGCTCCCCGATCACAGCCACGCGAAGGTGCTCGCAGTTTGGGCATGGGAAATGCGGGTGGAGGTGAATCCGAGGTTCAAGGTTGAGTGACAAGAGCTGTTTGCCATGAGAGTTAACACCTAGGCCTTCGCCTGAACCCCGAGCCTGGGGCTTCAGCTCAGTTGTGACATTAAAGGGGAGAAGGGGTGCCTGGATGGCTCAGTCGGTTAAGCATCTGACCTCGGCTCAGGTCATGATCTCACGGCTGAGTTCGAGCCCTGTGTCGGGCTCTGTGCTGACAGCTCAGAGCCTGGACCCTGCTTGGGATTCTGTGTCTCCCTCTCACTCTCTGCCCCTCCCCCACTCGTGCTCTCTCCTCTCTCTCTCTCTCTCTCTCTCTCTCTCAAAAAATAAATAAACATTAAAAAAATAATAAAATTGGGGTGCCTGCATGCCTGGGGTCAGTTGAGTCCGACTGCTCACCGCGATCTTCAAGTGGGTCTGTGAGTTCGAGCCCCGCGTCAGGCTCTGTGCTGACAGCTTGGAACCTGGACCCTGCTTGGGATTCTGTGTCTCCCTCTCTCTCTGCCCCTCCCCTGTTCATGCTCTGTCTCTCTCTGTCTCAAGAATAAATAAACATTTAAAAAAAAATTTTTTTAAGGGGAGGAGTGAATCTCAAGGCCTCAAACCTTTCTACGAAACAAAGGTGGCCCAAATCCAGCAAGTGTATGTTCTGAACTATCTCAGCTTTTCCACTCCGCGTGGATGGTCCTCTTTCAGAATGGATACTTTAGGGGTGTCTGCCCAGCTCATGAGCCAATAACCCCCTCTTTCTCTTGAGACTGTCTTCCTCCCGTGCACAGGGTGGACCCCAGGAGGCCACTTGCCATGAGACCCGTGTCACTTACCATGTGGCCAGGGATGGAGAAGGGACCCAAGTGAGACAGAATAAGAGTCAAGAGTCCCTGGGGCAGGTGACTCGGGGCTGCCATCCTCCATGCGGGCTGAGGAGCAGAGAGGGAAACAGGATAGGTAGGAACAGGGACAGGCCTCCAAGGGAGATTCCAGGTTCCAGAACCTTCTAGAGCCCCAACCATGTCCTGGCCTTGGGCTCAAGATGTTTTCTCACCTTATGATAAATCTCCCCACCCCTTCCCCCCCTCCTTTGGTTTAGTTAAAAATGGAAAACAAAAAAAGAATAAAGGCTTCAAACCTTGAAGGCTATTATCTTTTCCAGGCTGTTCCGTGTCACAGCCCAGCCCTGCCTCGCGGCCTTTCTCTCCTTTCTGGGCTGGGATGGCTCTCGTTCGAGTCCCTTCTCTGAGCCATAAAACAAAGGCAGGGGCATTTGTTCACTGAGCCCAGGTAACAATGTGTAAGTGTTCCCAGGAGGAAGGACCCCACTGCCAGCCTTTCCCTAACAGCCTCCAGAGAAGTTTGAATGTCAGAACAGAGAGTGCCCTTCTTGGAGCACTTGAACAAGCATTCTTCCCTGGGGTGCAGGAAGCAGGAAACACGGCCACAATGCAGAGGGAGGCCCCACACGAGGAAGGATTAACATGGGTAATCTCCTTATTGCTTGTACCACCTTGGGCCAGCCCTCTATTGGTCTAGGGATCAAAGTCTCCTCTGTCTTCCACCTGTAACAACAGTGACTGTGTTTTCTGTGGGTTCGAGGTCTGTGCCTTGTTCAAATTTGCATTCCTGGGACCCACAAAGCACGTTGCACGGAGACAGTGAACAGCTGTTGAATGAGATGTTCTTCTGCGAGTACATATTTCAAATTCTCTCCCACGTTTGTTTAAATCCACTTTCCGGGGGGCTCAGAAAGCCTTGCCAGGGGGGCCTGGGTGGCTCGGTCGGTTGAGCATCTGACTTTGGCTCAGGTCATGATTTCACGGTCCGTGGGTTCGAGCCCCATGTCGGGCTGTGTGCTGTCAGCTCAGAGCCCGGAGCCTGCTTTGGATTCTGCGTCTCCCTCTCTCTCTGCCCCTCCCCCGCTCACGCTCTGTCTCTCAAAAATAAATAAACGTTAAAAAGAAATGTTTAAAAGAAAGCCTTTCGAAAGCACTGATGTGATATGGCACCACCCCGGGGGGGCTTTGCAGTAAGGACTGCTTGGAGTGATTTCTGCCCCCTCGGAGCCTGTGATCTAGGGCAGAGCTGACACCTCGTTGAACGACTACAACCCAAAACACGCCCAGTTCGATGCCACGTAGGGGTTTAGCATTCACGTTGTCACGGACACAGAGCTTGGGTCAGGCTACCTCCCGTGGCTCATCACGATCACCCATTTCCCCGGCACACCTCCGAGTTACAACTTGGCATTTTATCTGTGATGATCTGTGGTCCCCCATATATCCTGGGCTCCGTGGGGGCAGGACCGGACCTGGTTGAGCTCGTCAACCAGGCCCCAGTAACTAGCCCAGCGTTCATAGGAGACGCTCAAAAGTCGTGGCTGAATAAAAGAACAAACTATGGGCTGTGGAGTTGGGAGGCGGGCAGAAGTCAAAGCTGCAACCAGGGGATTGGGACCCCGGACTCAGGAGACCCTCCCCCCGCCCCAACTTGCACACGACAAATCAAGAATGAATGAAGCCCCGCAGTCAGGGAGAGAAGGGCGGGTCTTATTGGCTGAGCAGGTGTTTTTTTGTGCCAGATGCGAAATGCGGGCTGTGAGTCAACGCCCACAGCTGACTTCTCTCAGAGGCAAAAGGCAGCAGCCCATTTTACAGATAAGAAAACCGAGGGCCCGGGGTGGGGGGGTGAAGATTTCTCCCAGTCATGCTGGCCAACTCCCACTCGGGTCTGGCTGGCTGCACCTGTCATGCTCTCTCTTCTCTCTCTGTGGCCTCAGTGAGTCTGTGATACGGGACTTGGAAGAAGAATGAGAGCAGACACAAGGGAGCTGCCTGGGACAAGAGTGACCACGATGAGCCAGGGAGGCCCAGGACATCAGGGAAAAAGAGCAGGAGTTAAGGACACCTGGAAATCCATTAGGATGATGGCTAGGTCACCAGAGAGGATGATTCTTTCTCCCAAGCCTCCCAGGAATCGCCCCCCAAAACCTGTGAGCCCAGAGACCCCACCTCAAAGTCCAATTACAGAACCGCGCTGAGCGGAGGACACCTGACGCCAATTTGCATAAATTAAGTGATACTTTTGACGGCCTCGCACAAAAGAAGAGAATGAAAAGAAAGTAAACGTAACCCTTGGAGTCAAAACCCTTGAGTGCCCCAAGCCAGACCAGGCACCCTGAATGTATCTTCTCCCACCGCTAGACCAAGCACCATGCAGTGGAATTCAGCTTATGGGCCCCCACCCCCTTGCTCCGGCACCCTCCCCACCCCCCTCTCCCCCCTGAAATTCTTCAGTAGCTCCTCCCGGACAAGAAGACCGACGATGAAGTCCAAACTCCTTAGTCGGACCTACAATGCAGATAATAATCCGGTTCTGTCTACCCACTTGGGATCATCTCCTGCCCAGGCACAGACCCTTCCCTCGTGCCCACCAAGCTCACGTGCCCCCTGCCCGGGGTGAGACATGTTCTGTACCGTAATCACACAAATGTGTCTTCACTAGGGTTCCCCTTGTAGGTGGCTGGGAAACACACCTCGCATCCGGGATGTCCGGCATCTAACGTGAGATGGGGGCTCTTGACGAGTGAACACTTGCTGAGTACCGAGATTTTTTCCCAACAATGCCAACAGGCAAGCTTGTTGTTAGGCAGGGGTTGAAGTAAATATTTCAGGCCGATCTTTCGATCAAGGATGGCAGCTATAGTCTTGACATGAATGTATATTTTCCTACTCCCTTATGAACGAGGTTACCTTTGTTACCTACCCTTCATTAAAAAAAAAAAAAAAAAAAAAAAAAAGATGGGGCGCCCGGGTGGCTCAGTCGGTTGAGCGTCCGACTTCGGCTCAGGTCATGATCTCGCGGTTCGTGGGTTCGAGCCCCGCCTCGGGCTCCGTGCCGACAGCTCAGAGCCTGGAGCCTGCTTCCGATTCTGTGTCTCCCTCTCTCTCTCTCTGACCCTCCCCCGTTCATGCTCTGTCTCTCTCTGTCTCAAAAATGAATAAATGTTAAAAAAAATTTTTTTTTTAAAAAGTAAAATTTAAAAAAAGAAAAAGAGAAAAGGTCAACAGCATCCTACAGATATTAGTAACAGGGCGGAGTCCCAGTCATCCCAGAGCCAGCGCAGAGAGGGCGCTGTCCAAGGTCAGCCTTGTCAGCGGCACTCCTGACGCCAGTTCCCATAACAAACTCCAAGCCGCCACCGCCCGCTATTTAGAGGTCACGGGTAAGTTTCCAGACCCAACGCCAACAGCTTAATTTGGGGCATAGGTGGCGATACTCATGTCTCGCGGAAACCGGTCTGAAGTCTACCCGAGGCACAAAAAGAAATACCATTTATGCTTCAACCTGTTGATACGATCCTGGACCTTAATCAAAGGGCACATCCGTCCCTAGGCGTCAGCACATGGATGACGAGGAGAGATCTTCAGGGTCGCCACACAAGTCTGCACGGCAGGCTCCCCCATGGGAAGGAAGGACAGCGGCTCCTGCATCATCGTCGGCGCGAGGGAACAGCGTGCAGGTGCCCCCGGCCCAGGCCACAGCCCACCCTGCCAAGGGGGACATCAGAGAAGAGACCGGTGGGGCCACCTCGACTGGGCTGGCCCCACCGAGGGGTCGAAAGAGGAAGGACACCGTGCTGGACACGCGGCCCCCGAGGGCATGGGATGGGGGAGCGGCCTCAGAGGCACTGTCACTGAGGAGCCAGGACGCGAGGACAACCAAAGGAAGGCAGGACCAGAATGGGGAGCCCACGGCCACCAGGACGGTGCCCTCGAAGCCTCGGGCCAAAGCGGCCACCACGGCAAGGACACCTGTGCCAGAAAGCCAGGCCGAGGCGCTGACCACCCCGGGAGCAGGGCCACTGAAAGGCGTGGCCTCGGCCGTGATGCCCCGCCGGGAGACACCCCGGGCCAAGCCACCCTCCACCCCTCGCCAGGCCCGCACCACACAGAGAAGCCGAAGTCTGCGGGCCGCCAACTTCAAGTCTGAGCCCCAGTGGGATTTCGAGGAACAATACAGCTTTGACGTGGGGGCCCTACAGACGGTGAGTCCTCCCCCTGGCTCCCTGCTCTGAAGGCCCCTGCAGACAGACAGGCCACCCCACCTCTCTGACCTCCCGGGCTCTGCCCCCAGGCCCTGCCTGGTCCCACCCCGTGCCCTCCCCATCCTTCTTTGCAAAAGTGGTGGAGGCTGGACGGGAAGGCAGGCCCAGATCCTGGCCCGGGCCTGCCCTGGAGCTCCCAGAAGGCCTGGGCAGGGTCACCGGGCAGGGTCAGAGAATCTACCCGCTCTGTAGCAGGACAGCCAAATCTGCATCCCGAATACCACGGAAGCCGCAGTGCCTTCCAACCTCTCAGGCCCACTTTCTGCCCCTGCCCCCAGCCCTGCCCCTGGCCGTGGCCTTCCGGGGCCTGTCCCTGCCTGACCCGCCTTCCTGCATGTAGACCTGCCCCGACTCAGTGAAGGTCAAGGCCTCCAAGTCACCCTGGCTGCGGACACTCTTTCTGGCCAACCTCACCCTCTTCCTGGACTCCAGCCACTTCAACCAGAGTGAGTGGGACCGTCTGGAGCACTTTGCGCCACCGTTTGGGTTCATGGAGCTCAACTATTCGTGTGAGTCTTCCGGGGGGGGGGGGCGCGGGGAGGGCCTGGGCCCACAGCACACGGCAGCTGGCCTCTGCCTCTGGCCTGCCTCTTCCCTGGAGGCCGCCAGCCCCGGGAGAAATGATGGGCTGCCTCCGGGCCCCTCCGGGGACTGAACGTGAACCTCCCCTGTTTCAGTGGTGCAGAAGGTCGTGACCCGCTTCCCTCCGGTGCCCCAGCAACAGCTGCTCCTGGCCGGTCTCCCCGCCGGGAGTTCCCAGTGCATCACGTGCGCCGTGGTGGGCAACGGGGGCATCTTGAACAACTCTCACGTGGGCCAGGAGATAGACAGCCATGATCACGTCTTCCGGTAAGCGGTCCGGCCCCGGGCTCCCTCCTACAGAGACGGGCTCTTCTGAGAGGTCTCATCGGGCGTTCTCTGCCTGTACCTGGAAGGTGGAATCCTGGGCTCTCCGGAGACTCCCCATATAGCTGCCGCGCCCCCCACCATTTCTGTGCATCCCCCCCCCCACCTCTGTGCGTTCCCTCCTGCACTCACGGGTTCCGTCTGCCTCTTTCTGTGTAGACTGAGTGGAGCGGTCACTAAGGGCTACGAACAGGATGTGGGCACCCGGACGTCGTTTTACGGCTTCACTGCCTTCTCCCTGACCCAGTCGCTTATGGCCTTGGACGGTCAGGGTTTCCGGCACGTGCCTCTGGGGAAGGTGAGCAAGGAGGGACAGGCCCGGCCGCACGCAGAATCTGAACGAGGGCGCACGAGCCAAGAGAGGGAGCCGGGTGTCCTGGGTCTGGGGTCTGGTCGGTGCAGGGTCTGCTCGTACGAGGGGCGAGAACACGGACGATGGCCAGACAGAGCAAGGGGGCGGGCCGGAGTCAGAGCCAGGCCGCCCTTCATCCTGAAGGCGGGACTCGGACCACACACTGTCCTTGGTCCTCAGGACGTCCGCTACCTGCACTTCCTGGAAGGCACCCGAGACTATGAGTGGCTGGAGGCGATGTTTCTCAATCAGAGCCTGGTGAAGACTAGCCTTTCCTGGTTCAGGTACCCCCGGCCCCCCCTCCTTCCTCACCCCCCGGCCCCCCGCGGAGCTGTGTCTGGAGCGGCTCTGAAGGGGGCTGGGCGGGTGGGGACAGCCTCCGCTGTCTCCTGGAGATGGGGTACCAGGTGCCCTGACTTGGCCCACACAGGAGGAGGCGAGAGAACGGAGCGCGAATGACCCCTTCCTGCCCACAGGCACAGGCCCCAGGTGGCTTTCCAGGGAGACCCGCCATGGGACAGATACCTGCTGCTGCACCCCGACTCGCTGCGGTACATGAAAAACAGGTGAGGGCAGCAGAGGCGTGTGGAGAGGCCCGGGCCCCTGTCAGCCCTGCAGCCTCCTGACAGCCCCGGGGCCGGGGCACTTCCCAGGTTCCTGAGGTCCAAGACCCTGGACACCGTGCACTGGAGAATCTACCGCCCCACGACCGGCGCCCTCCTCCTGCTCACAGCCCTTCAGCTCTGTGACCAGGTGAGATTCTGGAGCAAGAGCGGGGCCACCTGGGGAAATAGCTGCGGGCCGTTCCTGGGCGGTAACACCCGGACGACTGACGGCAGGGAGAGGAAGAGGCGAGGGGAGTGTGGCCCGTAAAGGCCAATCCCGTCAGGGCCTGCGTCCGAAGACCCTAGGGCTAAAGGCGCACTCGAGATCCCGGCCCCCTCCCCGACACACAGAGACCACGAGAGCGAGCGACTTCAGGCTTCTCTCTCTTCCGACCTTCATGTAGGTGAGTGCCTATGCTTCATCACCGAGGGCCACGAGCAATTCTCCGATCACTACTACGATAAGTCCTGGAAAAAAACAGTCTTTTACATCAACCACGACTTCCAGTTAGAGAGAACGCTCTGGAAGCGGCTGCACGATGAAGGTATAATCCAGCTGTACCAGCGTTCCGTAACTTCCAAACCAAAGATGTGACTGCAGCCTGGACAGCAGCGGTCTCCTCGGCCTTTCCGGGGCACGGGGCAGGGTGGGGGGGTGTTGAGGCCTTCCGCCATTTTCCCAGGGCTCAGTTTGGGCTCCAAGCCCCTCCAGACACCCCCGGGGACCACTGAGGAGAGACTCCCAAGATGGCAAATGACTGAGGTTTTGGAGACCTCGGAACATCGCTACGGGTTCCGTTCAAAGGGAGGAGGACTCCGGTCTGGAGACCAAGGAATTTGAACGAAATGGCGTGATGACTGGTCAATACCACAGATCCCTGCTGAAATTCACCCTTCACTGTCCAGAAGATGCTTGACACGAGGGGAAGAAGCCTGAACCTACGGACACACGTCGAGTTGGCCTTTTTTGGTGTTTTGCCTGAGTAGGCTTTACACCCAATGGGCGAGGAGCCCATTGAGGGGCTTGAACTCATGACCCTGAGATCAAGACATTTGCTGAGATCGGGGCGCCCGGGTGGCTCAGTCGGTTGAGCGTCCGACTTCGGCTCAGGTCATGATCTCACACTCTGTGAGTTCGAGCCCCACGTCGGGCTTTGTGCTGACAGCTCAGAGCCTGGAGCCTGCTTCGGATTCTGTGTCTCCCTCTGTGCACCTCCCCCGCTCATGCTCTGTCTCTCTCTCAAAAATAAATAAAAATGAAGGAAAAAAAAAAAAGAGGTTAGAGTGGGAGAGAGAGCCGAAGCATAAGAGACTCTTAAAAACTGAGAACAAAGTGAGGGTTGATGGGGGGTGGGAGGGAGGGGAGGGTAGGTGACAGGCATTGAAGAGGGCATCTTTTGGGATGAGCACTGGGTGTTGTATGGAAACTAATTTGACAATAAATTTCATATAATAAAAAAAATGAGATTAAAAAAATAAATAAATAAAAATGTTCCTAGATTTGGTTTTGAATTCCAAATCTTGTACTTAGCAGCTGTGAAATCTTGAAGGCGTTACTTAATTTCACTGTAGATTGTCTAGAGGACCCTTCCGGGGCTTATCAGATTCTAGAAGGATCTGCACCTTTCCTTGTCTTTGAGCTATTTGGCAACTCTCTGAGTTGTAGACAACTGATAGTAATAAAAATGAGTCTTGTCCACGAAGATGCGGAAAGTTTTGTACAATGAAGACACAATGACTCCCCTGTGGATGGTGACCCATTTTATATGTACAAGCAAGTTCATTTAGCATTTCTCGTTGCCCATATGTGTCTCTACTTTGGGCTGTCCTTTGAACTAGTATTTCCCTCTCACTGGTTCCTTCATCAATTAATAAGTTAAATAAAATCCTTGACGTGTGTTCATTTTACATTTGTAGGACAGTCACGATTTTACCCTTAAACACACAGCCTTCGGCATGTCCTTAGGCCACTGTTTTCTAATCTGTAACACGACTTTTAGGGTGTCCATTTCGCAACGATTTAAAAAATTACTGTATGTAAAAAGCCCGATACAACAAGGACCCAGTTTCCTCCCCTTTCATTCTCTATCCTCCCATCGTCCTGCATTTTCTCAAACCCCACGTTGAGAATTTGGACCAAGCCCAAGGCATTTCAGTTCGTCTTACCCCCCTGAACTCTGTCTTTAGGATTTGGACTCTGAAGCCCAGAAAGAATTCTAAAGATGCTAAACCGCATAAAGGCCCTGATGAAGGAGGACATGGAAGGCAAAAAGCAAAAACATAAACAAAACCAAAAAACAAACGCAAGATGTCTTAGACTTCTCGCACCGTGTTCAAAAGCTATTTAATACCAATAGGACAGGATTTGCTTTGTTCAGAAGGGTTGCAGTACCATCTCTGGGCAGCAGGTGGCAGCATCTTGGGACCCCTTGTCTGGGATGCTCAACTTGTCTTTTTCAGGTTTTCCTACCTATTCTTACGTGTTTATCCTTCCATGTGAATTTTAGTATCTGCTTAAGATCTAGAAAAAATGTTTTGGTAGCTTAATTGGAATTGCATTAGACTTATAAATTTACTGGGGGAGAGGGACACCTGGGTGACTGTCAGTTAGGCGTCCAACTTCCCCTCAGGTCACGATCTCACAGTTTGTGGGTTCAAGCCCCAC